GGCCATGTACTGAACTAATTTATGCGCGCTGTAAAGACTTTAATTATGATGTCGAAAGTCTAATGCGATTTATTCATGCGCTGCGGATTATCCCGCGTAACAAAATCGTGCCAAAACGAATTGAAACAAGCTGATTGATCGCAATAAAAAAGGCACACATCAATTTGTCCAAAATTAATGGGTTTAAAATGTATCGTTACCAACAACTATTTGATAAAGATCAAGGGGCAATCGAAACATTCAGGGCTTCGTGAAAGAAAGTGACGGAATACGTGTGCTCGGGTTGGCTTTTTCTCCAGATAAATTTCGACTTTTTAACTAGTAATTTTTGACGGAGTTCTTATATTCTTCGAGATTATTGTGGTCTCAATCTCAAATAACAAAAAAACATTCCATCTGAAATAATATATTTTTTGTAAAGTTATAGGAGTTTAAAGATTGCCAAATGGCCAATTTGGGAAATAAACACAAGACATATTAAGTGCTATTACCAAATAAGTTGAGATTTAATACACCATATATTTCAGCAAGGAGTTGGGACATTCAGGGTTTCTACCTAAGACTAGCATCATAATTTGGTGTTTTTTTTATTAAAAAAGAATTGACGGCAATTTTTTCAACTGTAATTAAAAAAATTTCGACTGTAATATAAAAAATTCTTTTGACCTGGACTTGACATTAATCAGATAAAAACCAATACATGGGTAATGTATAACAGGGAAAAAAATATATTGGCTCATCTAATTCGGAAACTGGTCATGCGAACTTACGCGTCAGTTTTTTGTGCTGCGCTTAATTGCTCGTAGTCGGGTAAAAGTTTCACTTTCTTAACTAAGGTTTCCTTACTGTGTAGTTTTCTAAAGTTATATGCAATGGTAGTCCAGTAAGCATCTTTTATTACACTCTTCACGATATACAGCGGCAAACTAGATTATCTGCCAATCGGGAGCATAGTTTCAAACTTTCTGCCAGGCGGGAGCATAGTTTCACTGATTTCTTTAAAGTTAACAGCGTTTTAGTATTGATCCGGAAATCTTCATATTGCCAAGCGTGAATGCTTGCACTGGAATAAAGAGTGAATTGCATCGCTGCTCGAAAAAAAATTTCATAGTTTCAACACTTATTTCTAATTCTAAAGTGTTTTTACACATGCAGAGGGGTGTGTTGTACTACAAAATCATCTTTTTTTTTCAGTTAAGTCGCATAAATTAGTGCCACTTTCTCAAAATGCCACTTTTCAAGTAAGTAATTATCTAAGTAAGTAGTTTCTAAGTAAGTAGTTTTCAAGTAGTTTCTATGTAAGTAATTATCATATAAGTGGCTGGTTTTTTTCACAGCAAATGCACATAGAGAAACTGTTAAGGCAATGGACTCAAAATCTGCGGGTAGTCGATGGCGAATATCCGAGAACGATTTAGAATTAGAAATAACTTGAAACGAACACTTTTTTCGCGCAACTAATGACTAGGCCACCTCGACTTGTAAAGGTTTTAACTGAACAGGATTGCCGCTTTGAAAATAACCATTCGACTGGTAACATTTCGACTTTTTAACTAGTAATTTTTGACGGAGTTCTTATATTCTTCGTGATTATTGTGGTCTCAATCTCAAATAACAAAAAAACATTCCATCTGAAATAATATATTTTTTGTAAAGTTATAGGAGTTTAAAGATTGCCAAATGGCCAATTTGGGAAATAAACACAAGACATATTAAGTGCTATTACCAAATAAGTTGAGATTTAATACACCATATATTTCAGCAAGGAGTTGGGACATTCAGGGTTTCTACCTAAGACTAGCATCATAATTTGGTGTTTTTTTTATTAAAAAAGAATTGACGGCAATTTTTTCAACTGTAATTAAAAAAATTTCGACTGTAATATAAAAAATTCTTTTGACCTGGACTTGACATTAATCAGATAAGAATTGACGGCAATTTTTTCAACTGTAATTAAAAAAATTTCGACTGTAATATAAAAAATTCTTTTGACCTGGACTTGACATTAATCAGATAAAAACCAATACATGGGTAATGTATAACAGGGAAAAAAATATATTGGCTCATCTAATTCGGAAACTGGTCATGCGAACTTACGCGTCAGTTTTTTGTGCTGCGCTTAATTGCTCGTAGTCGGGTAAAAGTTTCACTTTCTTAACTAAGGTTTCCTTACTGTGTAGTTTTCTAAAGTTATATGCAATGGTAGTCCAGTAAGCATCTTTTATTACACTCTTCACGATATACAGCGGCAAACTAGATTATCTGCCAATCGGGAGCATAGTTTCAAACTTTCTGCCAGGCGGGAGCATAGTTTCACTGATTTCTTTAAAGTTAACAGCGTTTTAGTATTGATCCGGAAATCTTCATATTGCCAAGCGTGAATGCTTGCACTGGAATAAAGAGTGAATTGCATCGCTGCTCGAAAAAAAATTTCATAGTTTCAACACTTATTTCTAATTCTAAAGTGTTTTTACACATGCAGAGGGGTGTGTTGTACTACAAAATCATCTTTTTTTTTCAGTTAAGTCGCATAAATTAGTGCCACTTTCTCAAAATGCCACTTTTCAAGTAAGTAATTATCTAAGTAAGTAGTTTCTAAGTAAGTAGTTTTCAAGTAGTTTCTATGTAAGTAATTATCATATAAGTGGCTGGTTTTTTTCACAGCAAATGCACATAGAGAAACTGTTAAGGCAATGGACTCAAAATCTGCGGGTAGTCGATGGCGAATATCCGAGAACGATTTAGAATTAGAAATAACTTGAAACGAACACTTTTTTCGCGCAACTAATGACTAGGCCACCTCGACTTGTAAAGGTTTTAACTGAACAGGATTGCCGCTTTGAAAATAACCATTCGACTGGTAACATTATCTACATTATCGGCAAATGGGAACGAATTTCAATTCGGCTGGTTAAAACTGCAGCTTCGTGAAGGCCATATACGTACTACCTTAAAAGTGCTTTAACTACTCGCCGAATACTTTAATAATGATGGAACAGCACCAATTATTATCCTACATATAAAAATGATCCTAACTTTTGACATAGACAGTCTTTAAATTAAAATTTATCCCAATTTACTTCATAGTTTGTTGGAGATGAACTAAGGGCCTTCGGAACTTTCTCGGCGTTGTCCTGATATACGAGCAGTCTTGTTGTATACGAACTGTATACGAATATATTATTTAAAAAACACTAGGAATGTCTGCTCAATTCTGAATGTGAAAAAAATAACCGATTTTTCATGCATATAAAAGAAATACATGAAAAACAAAAAAGTATGACAAGTATTGTGCCAATTATCGAAAAAGCAGACTAGCAATCTTCCACTAATTTTTAAATCTTCATTTTGTTCCGAACACTTGAAAAATGAAAAAAAAAGTCCTTGTATTCGGATGTGATCCAATTTTGTTTTGTTTATTTGTTTTCCACGCAAAATCCTCCACCAAAAATCATCGGAGTGAGTTGAGCAATATATCATTTTGAAACCCTTTTAATCGTGACTCGAATGACACTAAACATTTTTCCAAAAATTTTCCCTGTTGAGAAAAACCGGATTGATATTTTTAATTTTTCGACTAATTCTGAGTGAGCGAGCAGGCTTACATGAGCTTATTTTAATAGCTTAAAAGCTTACAATTGTCTATTTTGAGCGGTAAAAACTGGTTATGCTCAACTAAAATTAATTTATTTGAGTTTTTTGTTCCTTTTAGAAGTAAAACCGTGAAAAAACTTCGAAATTTTGCTTCATTTTTTTTCTGTTTTTCAAGTCAGTTTTCTACAACAACGTTTTCCAGTCTGCTTGTTTTACTATAACTGAAAAAAATGCCCAAGTTCTAAATTTCGTTCAGATGTTTAATCACACTACGCAGAGAAAAAACGACTATATAATTAGAAAAAAAAATTTATGGTATTTTTTAAAACTCTGGTCGGAACATTCTGTGCTACTTGCTCAGCAACCGGTTATCCTTGTTTTCCCCTTTTGTTTTTATTTAATTGTTTATTTCCAAACGGATTTTTTCCTGGATAATGCTTCATCATGGGTCAAAACGACAGCTCTAAAAAAACAAGAAAAACACTTGCGTTCTTACGATCAGGCTCAAAAAAATTTCGCCGTTTTTTTTGCTTATAGAAGGTAAGATTTTGTGTATGCAAGTGTGGATGAATTTTTTTTTTCAAAATTGCGAGCAACTGGCTTACGTAAAATCCAAAAGTATATACACATAACTTCAAATGCAATTTTTTTCGAAAAAGGTTGATATTGTACTTTTATAAAGTTTCTATGTTTGCTAAAAAGTTTATGGAGGTCAATCCGGGTATACAACAGTTTTCGTGAGTCAGTACTGATTTACTCAGTGAAGTCGAAAGGGTTAAGCAACCTTTCCATTATTATGATGTATTTCAAGAAACAAAAAAGTTGATTCCAAGCATTGGCTGGTCTAATCATTCAAACTTTGCATCTGGTGTAAACAAGGTTTTGATGTTTGAAAAAAAGCATAATATGGAAAATCTCTAAAAAGTAAGTAACTCAAAAACGTTTCATTGGTTGCGTTGCCTTATTACGATTTAAAGTTTGCAGTTCCGCAGTGGAAGTTGATCACCTTTATGACGTTTTTTTTTCATAAGAGAAACGATTAATCAAGAATCGAACATTATCTTTTTGAAAAATGACGTGTTAAAACCTCGTTAAAAAGGTACCAGATTCTTGCTCTGAAACAAACTGATCGTGTTGGAATATATTAATGAGTGTTTATCAGGAAAACTTGACATTGAAACATTTGATTTAATTATCTGGTTTTTTCAGAGAAAAACCTTCGGCGATGATTTAGTAGTCAAATTCAAATAAAAAAATTTCATTACGAGGCCAAACTGTGCATTTTGTAAATTTTAATTTGAACAAAATTGCAACATGCTTAAAGCTGTCTCCGGATTCCAGAGACATACAGCCACAAAATTGTGCGCCTATCCAGTGCACAGTTTAGCCTCGTAATGGTTGCTGACCTATGTTGCCGAGAACTTCTGCAGTTGCGGCCGTGAACGCGCTGCCGAAATCTTCAGGGAGTTGTGTAGACATCATAGAAGCGAGACAAATTATGATATCACCAATTGTTATACTCATTAGGTAAACATCGGTCGCGTTTTTAGGAAAACTCATGATTAAAAGAAAGAGCACAAGAATATTTAGTAGGGATCCAAAACTAAGGACAAACAGAAGTGCTCGATTGATCCATACAGAACTATTGATTAATATGTCCATAAGAGTGTTGCAATTTGAAGTCATAATGCCAAGTTCATGGTCAGTTATTGCTTCTGAGGATATTTTCATGTAATCGGGAAAGTAAATAAAACAAAATTCCGAAAATGGAAGATTACTCGTGTTGTAATAGGATAAATTGCCAACTTTTTCGGGAAAGTTCAACCCGTCCCCACCCATGATCACAAAAATATGCAAGTTTGTACTGTACGATGGTAAGAGTAGGTAATAAAGAGTTTTTCAGGATGTCAATTGAAAATATGAAAAGTCCAATTCAAGAATAATACGCAAAAATCAATCAAATTTTGATTTATCAGAATACTATAATCGGAGTATTATAAAATACATGGTCAAAAATCGACTACAAATCTAAGAACTTCCAATTAAGCTCTGATTTTGATTTTAAAACTTGATTCCTCTGGTATTTTTGATGTAACAAGAAATCACGATACAAAAAAGCTCGATGCTAAAGAAAATGCGCAAAACTTTGCTTAAATACAAGATAGTTTTTGATCAAAAGAGATTTTGTTATCCAAAGGAACAGTAAACGTTGGAATTTATTAAAATACAGACTAAATCAGTATTTTGATAGATATTCTCTTTAGAGGCAACATCCATTAAGCTGTAATTAAAAGTAAAAGACTTGATTTGATTCTATTGATTTTAAAGGAGATTTATTGAATAGATAGGAAGCGGCGCCGGAAATAAGAAATCAAAAAATGCTCTTTTCTAATTGAAAAGAAGACCCTGAATAAAAAATAACAAATGTCAGGTAGGAAATGACAATTATTATTTGCTTGCTTCAAAACAGCAGCCTTTGAGGATAAATAAAGAGACTCCTTGGAAATGAACCTCTCTGATTCGGCATTTACTTAAAAAAATGAGTGTTGAAGAAAACGGAAAAAAAGACCAATGAGAGCAGGCATATAAATTTTTTTCCTGGTTAGTTCGCGCTTTTAATAAAATTGAAACCAAGTTCAAGTTTCAAATGATTACTTGAAAAGCATCTGTAAAAATAATAGCTGGAAAAATCTAAAGAGTATGAACTAAATAACTTTTTAACTAACGTCTTTAGGCCGCTAACTTTTTTTTTCTTCCAGGAAAAAAGTTTAATGCTCGGTCGTCTATGAAGTAACCACTTAAGATATATTAAATGCCTTCTAAAAAGGTACGAGAACGCCTTAATTAATTCAATTAATTTATTAATTAATTTTTAAAGCCTCCCGGGTTGACCAAAACTTAAATCTTATAACTTTTCTAATAAAAAAATTACAACTTCTTACAAAATTCGGCTCTAAGAATCTGCGATTAAAAGATTTTTTCCTATAAAAAAGTTGTATAAAGGAGAAAAAAATTGTTAAAAAAATATACGGCTATGCTTATGAAAAATAGTTTATGTTAGGTGAATAAACTGTTAAATACATGAGTTCGACGACTCCACCGCATCCTTAAAACAACTGAGTTTTTAAATATCGCGACTAAATTTTCGAAATTATATTAATTTTTCAACTAAGCCGCGATAAGTGTTCGGCAATGTCTCTCTGACGCACTTTCGTATCCTGTAAGACTCGGGCTAAGAAACCTGCTACAACATCTGTAAATTTTCGGCAATTCTAAACAGATTAACATAAAATAAAAATATCTGAAAAATAAGATAATTTTTTTCCAGTTATAAGGAATTCAAAACGTTCTCAACCATCTCAAAAATCTCCAAGCCTAATCGGAAAAGGGGTAATTTCAAGGCCTTTTGTCTCTCTTAGAAAATCTATTTTTAGCTTCTTAACTTTCGCGCCATATGACGTCATTACTTTAAGCGCTGACCTCCTCCACCCCCAAAAAAGCAAAAAGGGGTGCATGTTTTACGACCGGTCGAAATAGTTCCCCGGTGCTCGTCGTGACTACGGCGGATCGGGCGATTTTTGTCGTATAAACTAAGGGTTTAAATACAAGCCAAGGAGTATCAACCCCTTGGGCTGTGTTCATCAACAAATCAAACCAAATCTACTCTCGGAGTCCTTTACTGCGTTTATTCAGGGTTGGCACATAATCTCAAAGCCAACGACTCCAAATTGCGTTGGCGTAGCTTTGCGCTCGTGCATATTGCTTTCAATGGTCGAAGTGTTCCTGGAGAGAAAGAGAAGTGAAGCAAGTACCGTTTCGACTTAAAAAAAGTGATTGGGAGTTAACACCTCAAAGCCACCGGGACTTGCACATACTGTTTTTATAGGGCGAGCGTTCAGCGATTGTTCTACGAGACAAAAAAATGTTTCAAGAACTTCTGGAGTGAGCTTTCTAATTCTTTAATGCGCTGAAACTCTCTTACAACACCGAATGAGACGTTCCCATGATCCAATGTGATGTGATGCTGCCGGAATATCATTTTTCGCCAGCTCTGCAGGTGCTTTTTTGTTCCACGACTGAAAACAATTCAAGAGTTTTTTCTCGGTTCGCACAATTTTGGTACCATTATTGGACCAAATGACTGATGGAGTGCCGCGACGGGCAATGAGTCTTTCGGTTCCCATTACACATGATCTCGTGTCCATGAATGAAACAATCTCAAAATGTATAGCCCTTGTGGTCATACAGGTGAAGCAGCTAAAAAAGGAAACACCATTGCTTCTCAGAACTTCTCCGATTTGAGACGTAAAAAGGTCCAAACTAATCAGCACCACATTTTGCGAAGGGAGGCTGGCGGTGACCAAGCCTTTCGACAGGAAAATGTACCATCGTAGGTGCGACAGTTTTGGCTTTGCGCTTCCTACATGTAACGCAGTGGACTTCAACGAATTTCAATGAAGATCACAAATTTCAAGTAAAAGTCTGCTTGCAAATAGTCTAAGATATGGTGCTGATAACGATAGTGAATATCACTTACAAACTCGAGAATATGACTTCCATCGAAGATTAGTGGGTGTTTTGTGTCATATTCGGTTTTTCACTAGGCGGCAAATTTGCCATGTTGAATGAATGAGGCATGCAGGATCAATAAACGGTGCCTACTGAGCGTTACGGCTAGAATTATCTACGGTTTGTTGCTGGACAGGAGTAGATTTTCCGCCTAAAATGAAACCTTTTGGGAAAGCAACAAAAATCGTTGTTTTGCGGTTTCTAATTCAACTGATCCGATTATTCCCCTGACTTCAGTGCGGTAGTGCCAGTTTTTGGACGCTGTCTGAGCATGAACGCAGCCACTCGCTGGAGTCTAGCAAAAGAGCTGCACTCTTGCTAATCAAATAAAATGGTTGTTTTTGTTTTTGTACATTTCCAACAAAAATAGGCCTGCTTTAAGCCCTCCTTAAGGTGACACGCGAGACATGTAAGGCGGGCGGATTTTTTAAATTATTCTATGCTCGGCTTGAAAAGCCACTCGCCATTTTTCAGTTGACTTGGCCGGTTCTCCCAGCTGCTCGCTTTTAAGGGCTCCGCTAAGATTCCTCTGGTTCGTGTATCAGCATGGTTGTCTCGTATAAAAGTGGGTTGCTTATTATACGAGTTTAACCACTGGAGCAAAGTGTTGCTGTCAGTCCATATGAACATGTTCGACACAGGACTGGCTATAGCTTTGTGGATATCTTCCGTCAAGCGCGTAGCGAGTAATCTGGCCTGCAATTCAAGCTTCTGGATCAAAAGCGGTTTCATGGGCGCGATCTTTGTTTTCTCAAAGACAAAAAAACTTGTGTTTTCAGTGAAGCTTTCACATGGTTGCGAAGAAAGCTAGAGAACAAAAAAGATTCTGAGCTGTCACTGAATAATTTGTAATTCAATACATACAATTGATGCGTTGAAGTAGCCGCTCTTTATACCCTTTTTCCTAAAGATGGTAAGCCAGGCAAGAAATTTTGTTTTGATATCAATGGGTAGCTCATCATCCCATTGTTGGCCGTGAAAGCGCTAGATTTCTTTCAAAAAAATTGCGCTAGGTTCCTGGTTGACACCACAACTTACCAGCAGAGTGTTTTCGATATAGTCTCTTTTCAGACAAAGAACATGTGAGATCTTATATCCAATTTTATAAACTTTTTTGTTCATTGCTGCGGAGCGCTCTCTGGCGGGCTTAACTTAATTTTAATTTTAGTTACGTTACCTATAAACTTGGCTAAACAAAGTCTGAACGCTGCCTGAGAGAAAATCACCTGATTATTCAAGGCAGTCCGTTGTAATGCATAACTTGCACACGTTGGCAAATCTCTTGCAGCAAAGGTATGTCTGGTGTACTGGTGTACAATCAAATCGGCTGTGAGGTACTCGCATCTCAGATAACGAAGGGAAAGTTGGCCTTTTGAAGGGACACCGAGTTGTAAAACATCTCTTCGGTAATTTGTAAAACAACCCTTCGAGTTGTAGAACATCAGAAGATACGGCAAAATGATGCTGACAAAAGCGGAGGAGAACAAATACAGGTTTTGCAGTTGGTCGGGTCCTACAAGCAACGATTTGTTCAAGGACATACAACAGAACTTGGACGCTACGTTAAGGACACGCCTAACTTTACCAGGTTTATTTGTGTTCATCACTGGATGTCGAAGAAGACACCAATTGCGTATGCTGCGATTTGAAACATGATGTGGAGGAACGTGAACCACGTATCCCTTACTCAAATCCTCTTCAGCAGTTTTTGAGTATTAATTTCGTAAGTAAAGATCTCTTGCAAGGCGTTTTTCCAATGATTTTATCTGAACCAAAGACGAATAGTAGTTGTCTGGCAAGATGACAGTTTCTGCTGCACAGAGCATACCTACAGCGTATCTTGATCCATCATGGATGATGGATGAATCAAGTCTTTAAGCCGCCTTCTCGTTCGCGGCATGGGAGTCGACCTGTTTGTAGGCCTCATTTGACTCTATCTTATAACTGCATTTTAAATTACCGGCTACATCGGTGTCGTCTGTTTTGTACTTGAATTAAGTGGAAAAGAAACCGGTAGATTTCGGCATTGGACAGCTCAAGGCCCAGCGTATTGGAAGGCGAATAGCGACGGGCGAAGTTTACGGATAGGCTTCTTTTATAAATTCTCTCCATGCCTAATTGCATGGAAAGAGTCGTGACCAATAATTAAATATACGTCGGTTTTACTCTAAGCAATTGGTTTAATTGCTACAAGCTACGAATACTTGCTCTGTAAGGCAGGGATATTGAAAGTTTCGTTTTTGACAAATGCGGTTCATTCAAATATGTACTTGTTTCATTCCAACAATAGTCGTTGTTT